GTGTAGTGTAGGGTGTATGTAAGATAATTCACTTGTCAAGGTACAGTGTGTAAGTACAGTGTAGTGTAGGGTGTATGTAAGATAATTCACTTGTCAAGGTACAGTGTGTATTGTACAGTCTAGTGTAGGGTGTAGGTAAGATAATTCACTTGTTAAGGTACAGTGTGTATTGTACAGTCCAGTGTATGCAGGTGCATGTAAGATAATTCACTTGACCAGAATCTTTACCATACCTGACATTAAGTCCATTTATCTCAAGGATGTGGTCACCAGATTTGATCCCTGCCTGAGAAGCTGCTCCTCCTACAAAAGAGAAAGGTATTGGTGAGATATAAACACATAAGGGTCTGCCAAGATTTACTCATAAAAGTAAGGTGAAATGGGCTGAATTTTTAAGTAATTTCAGCAATAAATTGTTACAAGTCATTTTTCTTTGTAAGCCTCACATCTTCACAACACTTCTAAATAATCATTCCTCCAGGCAAGTTATCTGATCTCTGCTAGTCCTAACTGCCACTGAATCTGATTTTTATTGAAAAACCTGAGGTTTTTCATAATAAACCTGGAGATTGTGTGAAAGGCAATTAATCCTTCGACTTTTTTTGACACTTAATTACCAGCCTAAAGCATACCTTATATCACTGTGTAAGTCGCTAATGAGAACCTGATACATGCATTTTCTTCACACAAAATACATGTATATCTTCTGATGCAAACAAGACTTACCTCCACTTTAACGCATAGAGTTCAATTTTAATGCGCTATATAAGAACTTAATATTAAATTTGAACAAACACTTACCTCTGTCGACAGTTTTAACAAAAACAGGAGAATCGCCACTGAGTGTAAATCCAAACCCTGAACCAGGTCCCCCTCTTATTATTCTCACAGTCCTGTGCATTGCAAACAGTCAATTATTTATTATAAATAAGTAAATTTTTCTTGTTAAAATATGCAAATTAACTCTTTCACTCCTTGGCATGACCAGAACATAAAATTCTAACAGGATTACATACAGATGATGCAAAGAGTAATATGGTACAAATGTTCACCTGTGTATACTTGCTTTTAAGAAAACTTTTAAAACAATGTGCACAACTATATACTGACAGTAATTTTAATTGAAGTTTTTATGAATTATCAGTTACTAAGAATTATAAGAATTATTGTTGTACTAATTATACACTGAACAGTACCCATAGTTACAATGTGGTTCAATTTTAACTTTGACACATATTTTAGTTGCTGAACTCATAAAACCCAAAAGAAAAATAGAAACTAAGTGAATCAAAGACAAAATTGAAGCACAGCTTACAATCAGTATACTAATACTCACCTTGGTGGAGCAGCCATATTCTCCCTTGCTTGCCGTCTTGCAAAGTTTTCCCTGTACTGACTAGCTTGAGTTGATCCAGCTGACCATGTTCTAAGGGAAAGGTTTGATCAGCATTAATTTTAGGTAAATTGAGGCATTAGGTTGAGAGAAAAGCTTAACGAGAGCCAATCAGAATGCTGTTGACAATACCATTCACACTATAGGAAAGAAGAGCTGCAAATCTGCCCCCATGGTTCTCTTGTTAAAGACCTAAAATTTGATACAGTATCTTGAAAACAAAGAACAAGGGAGTTGCAGCCAAGAACCTTAGCAAACAAAATGTCAAGATTGCTTTTTAATTGTTTAGAGTTTATCTGAGGGTGCAAAAAAAACTTGGAACTTAAAACATTTGTGAGCAACTTACCCAAACCTGCCAAGAGCAGGAGTGTTCATGCTGTTATATTCTGAAAACTCTAAGTCAGTGCTGCTGGAAAAATCTGGAAGGAAGTCTTCATCAACAGACTGTTTCTCAGAATGTAATATTTCACCATTCATTCCAACCAAGATGTCAAACAGTGGCTGTTCCCGTTTGGGGATGAAACTCCTATCAGACAAAAAAAAGTAATATTAATAGATCAATAAAATAGGTAAAATAAAAAAATGTTGTAAATGTTACCAACTTAACGAACACTTCATGAAAGCATTGTATTTCCCTGTTTAAACATTCCAGCACCTATTTAATTTGGCATAAAGAAGGATTGCTTATTAGAAGGAAGATGCTCAACTAAGGGCTGTGTTTATTAAGACACTAGAACCTGTAATGATTCTGTTTTAGTCGAAGCTTAAAAAGTTATGAATGAAGTGGCAATAAAAAGGTTTTCAGGTATCCCAACCATTTAAGAAAATAAGGGAGGAGGGCACTTGTTTGAGGGGGACACTGAGAAATATTGTTACTATACATCTTTATAAAAAATAAATACTGCACAAAATGTTTCTTTTGATAAGAAAATCAGGGAAGCATGTTATGACAAAAGTTTCACTGAAATTTATTTTTTTTAATACAACACCTGATGTCCCGAAGCAGTTTCCTTTCCACTGGAGTTTTAAGTATTCTTTTGAGACTCTGTGCCAGTTGCTCAATGGATCTGTCTCGTGCATATTGGTTCAGGGCCTTGACAAGCTCCTTTTTAATGCTTTCATTACCGGCTAAGTAATAGTTCATCTTTAAGAGAAAAACACTTCATATGTTAACTTCATTACAATCACTAATTCTGAAATCAGCTCTCTGCATAATTGACAGCTGCAGTGAAATGTGTTATATAAACTAGTTTATCACATCCTTGGTACACAATGGTCAACATACTTTTGATATGCAATATCATTGCTTAATTTTTTTTTTTCAAGTGACAATGTTGTCCTATTTTTTTTTAATGTCACAAACTTCACCACTCATGCAGCAAAACAAAAGTCAGTTTCAATAACTAGAATTCAATAAATAGCTGGAAGTAAATATTGTCTGTTCTTTCAGTTTCACTTGACGAAAATAAAAATTGATGTATCAGCCAAAAGCAATTGTTACACTTTAGCCTGCTATCAAACATGGTAGTAATATTTTCATTAACCATTTCGAGCAAGCATTTGAATGTACTGTTTATCTCTATATCACTCCGGGAATTTACACAACAACTAACTTGTCATAAATTTACACTCATTGTTTTATCTTGGATCGAAAGAATAAACCAACTGATTACTTGCATGGTTTTAAAAATGTTAAACATTTTTTTACCTCCCCTTTTGTTGACAAATCAAACAATTTAATGGTAAGATAAAACGTCCGGCGAGCAATACAGCCCATTAAATGTAATTGGTGTGTAAAATCTACAAAATTAAAAGGACGGAATCATTACTATCTGAACAATTGAAGTTGAATGAAACACAAATGCGTTTTCATCCTTTTTTGTCTTGGAATGTGTCAAGATCGAAACTGTCCAACTGAAAAACGTAGCATTTTGACAAATGAACGCCATTCGCATAAACATTGGGGTTTGTAATCGCTTTAACAGAAATGTCATACAACTTGACCAATATCTAATAATCCTTATTTCGTTACTCAAGTGTAAACTTACGTGTTTGATGTCCACACAAAGACAAGAACTTGGATCAATAATAAATAAAATCCGCAGAAAAACATGGCGGTGTAGAACTGACCTGCACAAAGAAATCTTTAGCTCTCTTGTATCGCGAAGACGAACTCTTTCCTCCTCTTTTATCCGTAATTCCGATGTCCGCTGCTCCAGCTATGAGAACTATAGAAATTGTAGGACCACAAGTATCTATCATTTCTCCAACTTGATCCTCATTCATATGTCTTAAGTTAACACCATTTAAACGGAGAATTAGATCTCCGCGACGAATACCGACATTCTGAGCCGGGCTTCCCTGTTCTACATCCTCAATAAAAACAGGACCCTTTCCGCGCACTGCAAAACCAAAACGTCCTCTTCTTCGACGCAGATCAAACGTGCGAATGCGCGAAATTACAGCGAGAGCTGGAGGGACAGTTCGCGATCGTTTTGCCAATAGGATTATTTCTTCCTTGCTTAATCCTTGAACGTTTTCTCCATTGACTTCGAGTATTTGATCGCCGGGTTGAAGTCCCGCTCTTTGAGCGACTGAATTTTCGTCAACAGACAAGATAACAACAGGAGCCCGTCCGCCGACGGTAAAACCGAAAGCTTCGGGCCAATTTTCGTTCGTTCTCATGGTGAAAGTTGAAGTATCAGCTCAAACCTAAAGCTTCGATAAAAAAACCTCTAGAAATTTCCGTGATGTTTTCTTTCCACCACAAAGTCGTTTGTTTATCAAAAACCGATCCTTCTCTCGATTAAGCCATGCCATTAATAGCATAACATCTAAACCATGCCAAGTTATAACAAACTTTCCAATAAGTTTTCAGCTTTGAAAACACCGTTCGCTTCAGCGATGAATTTGTGATCTTGGAATCCTTGCTGTTTAGATCCACGACAAGTTGATGACATTTAAACCATGTGAAGATAGAGACACGTTTTCGAAGAGTAGCTCAACGCAGATTGACAGGGTTGGCGACGCTAAATATGAAACCAGGCAACCAGAACCCGCAAGCAGCGTATAGATTTCACTGTAGCAACGAAATGTCGACTAAACCGTGAAAGTTTTTTATCGAACACAATGTTTCCCTTGTTCTGATACTTAACTCTAGCTGCGCAACTGAAGAATGAATCCACAGTGGTGGAACAAAAAAGGAGACGTGGTTGTTTAATCCATTCCCTACGCGGTATCAAGTTAAAACGATTCACTACTACCAATTACGCTGTTGTTCGCCCAGCCGAATCACCACAATTATTCATGCTAATGACATGATGACTTCAGTGCCACCAAATTTGCATATCTTTAAAATTCTGAAACCAACTGCAGTCATCGTAAACGGAGAAAAGATTCCAACGCTATGAACTATCAAACCAAACACTACGGCCACAGGCTCACTCTGTTGGAAACAAGCTACGCACAAAAAGAACCTTGGGTATTTTCTAAAGAGTCCTTCAGAGTGTCTGAAAGAATTTTGTTTGGGGGCAAAGTAAATATTCCTTGATGGCCACCCTTGACCTTACGTCATAATCTGGAGACAAAGCTCTGTAACGCAAACTCTTTAACCGAAATAAAAATTGAAAAAAAATTACTAAAGAACCCTTGCAGAGTTGAAATAATAGAGACAAAAGTCTCTCTCTTCTACCCGCTCGGATCCAGCTCTCAAACCGTGATGGAACAAAACGAGTTTTCTGCGAATAAAAAACTTAGCTGCCCTCATAGTTCTCATAATATTTATTCAGCAAGCTTGTTTTGCTATGTGCTCCATACGTTTATTAAAGAAACTAAAAACTGCACAATCCGCCTATTTGAAGATGTTCTGGGAATAGGTACCCGCGATCCAAGTATAATCGATCATTAATTAATCGAGTTAAATATTAATTATGACTATCTGACTTGGCTTACCGACTTACGGCTGCTGGAAAATAAAAAAAATATGCCGGCTATACCATGCATTTGTGAATGGAAAAGGTACGGTATAATCTAGAGTCAATTAGGAGAAAATCATCAATATATATTTCAAGCGTTAAAATCATTAACACCTTTAAACCATTGGATGTCATTTAACAAAAGTTTACAAGCCATAAAAAAGTCACGGCATCGTAAATGACGTCATCGAAAAATAATGACGTCACAATTTGCCAATCTTAATTTTTTTTTTCCTGATAGAATTATCTGTTAATTGAAAACAATCGCTACCCGATTAAGGTCTAATCATCAGGTGGTTGGAAGGCGAGATCTCACTTGGCTTCCTGATCCTTTTACTGAAGATTTCTCTATAGTCGTTGTTAACAGAGAAACAGAGGAATATACAATAAGGATTGTAATGTATTTTCTCCATGTTTGCTTTCTCAGTTCATCTTAGATTCAAAGAAGTTTCCCCTAAGGGCTACTTTTTTGTACGTGACTTGTTCTTAGAAGAAGAAAAACCGGATTAGCTCAGAGATTTCTCTGTGATAAGAGGTCAACTTTAAGCATGTTATCTTGAGTGACCGCTTCGTTGCACATTACTCACAAGTCCAGCATCTTTTAAGTCGAAAGGCTTTTTTCTACGAAAAGTAATGACTTTTTTGGTTTTTCATTGCAATTTAGGCCACTTTAATACCCGTCATCCACAATTCTATAACGACTTGTTGAGAGATGAAAAAAAACTGAGAAGAAAAATTGTGGATACTGATAAACAATGATGAGTCATTTGCATGTGTTGCACTCATGCTAACCTGCACGTCTGCTGAAATTGTCTGCAAAAATATTTTGTCTTTCTAAAAACAGTACACAGTGGTAGGTGTGCTAAATACTTCCTCTTAATGCGACTTCTAATCGTTACCGGTCGCAATTCATAGCAGATAGTCCTATAATTGTTTGTGAATCACTGTTAAGTTTCCTTGGGAAGAAAGTAATGTTTGTCTTTTGCCTTCCTCTTATGGCATGATCTGTGTCTATAAGGCAAAAAGCCAATTTAGTTGACAACGACCAGCTTCAGACTGCTCACTTGCAGTTCACTAAATGCTCACGAGTTCCAGTGCCAAAGAAGAATTTTTATTACAAAGAAATCATGTCTTGATTTTGGCCCATTATCCGTAGCTGATCGTCAGTCTTCAAATCTTTTTTTTCCTTTCTGCAAATAACTGAAAAATCTCTGAGGATGACCAGAATTGTTATCGCCATCGTAATTTGTTAATTTCGAAACAAAAAATCTGTATTTGAGTGCGAAAGCTAAATTATTAAAGTGGCTATGCGATAGGAAGCGACTGAAATTAATTATTTATTAAGGAGCTTCGTCACTATATATTTAAGGAAATAAGAATAAACCAAAAGAGGTTAAAGATGGCTTTGAGGATAGCCAAGATCGCATTACATAAGCTGTTGGCAAGAAAAAAAAAAAAAGATAAATAGGTTTCATTTTCTTGATGAACAATTCTGACGGAAGTTCCTTTGCAAGGGGCAAATTTCGAGACAGACAGTTTCTTAAAACGAAAATGCGACTTTTGTATTCAATTTTCTAATCCGTTGTTCAAGACTACAATTAATTACACTCTAAAGTACCAAAAAATTAGTAGTAAATGCTGCTTTTATGCTGTAAAAGACTATGATGAAGTGAACATTCTTTTGCCCTCCATTTCCAATTTTGCGCGCGCGTCAAGTGAGGCTAGTCGCGTGCGCGCGGGCAAGCTTTTTAATAAAACGTCTAAATCTATTATGACGTTACAAAGGCGGCTGTTTTTCAAAGCAACTGTCGGAGTATTTGCTCATACATAAACACTCGGCAAATAGCTTCATCATGTAGATACTTGAGCAAAACTAGACACCCTAAACGATGGGTCATAGAAGTTTTTGGTCAACAATGAGAATTTATTTAAAGTGAAAAATATAATCAGTTCAAGAGATACTTTTGCCATGACAGAGGCTGAAAATGAATCAAGTCCTGCCACAAAAGGTATGTGCCTGACTTGTTCCGTAGTGATAACTATAAACCTTTCGTTGGATAGCGTTAATAACCCATTGATGGAAGGTATTACGCATAAGTCAGTAAGATTCTCAATGTGTTTGATTACAGATATACAGAAATCTTTGTAACAAAATTAAACCGAGGAAAAATTTTGGAATTCTCTCAGCCGAACTCAAGACAGTCGTTATTTTCTACCAAGAAGCGCAAAAAGTTGAAAATTGTTTATGACTTAAAGCAAAACAAAAACTTACCTTAAGTAAACTAATAACAACAAATAATAGATTCGATGATCACTTGAAAAGAAACCGGTGTAAGTCCAATGCTTGGACATGATCGAGGCAGCACGGAACCAAAAGGTACTTGTTTCAATTTTTCGTTTTGAACTGAAACAGAGCAGCTTTACCACAGCATGTTCTTCATTGCCCATCACTGTCACTGACAAGTTCAAGTTCAAACAGCCGGTTAGTTTCACATTTCCACACTAACAAATCGGCATATTATCTAATTGATAGCTACGTTGTTTACTTTGGAAATTTGATGGATCTAGCCGACAAAGCTTATATCTTGAAACTCCAGCAGCTGGAAAGGAGTTGACGGGTGTTTGCCACAGCAGCCAGACAACTGACAAGTGTACTGGCTTTCATCGATTTTTAACGATGTTTTCTTTATCAGAAACCGCTTGTAAACGACTCGAACAGAATGGAACTAGTGATTTTGTTTCAACTTCGTTACAAAATGTTTCCAAAGATTCACTGAATTCCCTGAAATCGAATTTAATTTCACTAAGTCAACTTGTCGTAAGTACCATTTTTTCTGAAGCACGCTTCTTTTAATTAGGCTTTCTCGTCTTGAGACGAATGTTTTCAAACCACTTCCCGGGGAACAAAACCACTCCTTGTTAAATGAGCCTGGCTATGTATTATCAAAATGTGAATGAACTTTAAACGAGCGTAAAGGCATAACAACCTAGATATTTAAAAAAATGATGAAGTAAAATTCCCTCGTCTTATTGATGATCCGGGCAACTTGTTTATTTTATCTTACCAATATCGTTCTATGAAGGTAGGGTGAACATATATAGGAAAACTTTAAATCCTTGGCTCTATCTTTTACATCGTAATATTGTTTTCTATTTTTCAGAGGAGACGCAAAACAATCGCAATTTCTTCAACAGTACTTCAGAGTTTTTCAAATGGTAATTCATAGTATTAACTTCTTTCTTTTTCATGTTGTTGTAATCCTATGAAAAATGCTTTTAACCTTTTGTGTCGTTTTCTTTCCATAGTAACTGGAAAGTGATTTTACCTTTTACTGCTGTAATTCTGCTGTTCTTCGTTACCGTTTTCACGAAAAAAGACATCACTTTTGCTGTCAATATCTGGGTCTTTCCAAGTAAGCAATGCTTTTATTTCATCAAGTACACCTGATGCACTGTCGGTTACTTCAGAGCTAAATCACTGCCAATCTCGTTCCCTGAACCTTCTTTCCTCTTGTACAGCGGAACAGGCGAGGGAGGCTATGCAATTCTCCTCTCGGGAATGAGGATTCTAGGAGCGATATTTACTTACAGCTAATTCCTCTCTCGCTCTTGAACGTTTACGCAGGTTTTGCCGTGCTCATGGCTTCAGTTCTCAGCATACAAAACTGGATTCCTGCTCTCCGACATCAAGGTACGTAGATCACTAAAAACGATTGCGTGGTATTTCGAAGTACAGGTTCCTTTTCCTTCCCCACTTGTTTCGTTTTCCCATTTAGCCAATCACTCCCTGAAAGCTTGAACTTGAATTTGAGGGCAGTAACAAGAAACTGCTCTTAAAATCACGATTAAGACTTTTCCCTTCAACCAAGGTTTGGTAAATAAACTCATAATGCAAAACAATGCTTTGCATTTCAATTTTTTCTTCACAGACTTTTGGCAAAGTCAAGGTCCACCATTTTATCCCCTTGTCAACGCGGCCCCCGCCCCACCCCCTCCACCACCATGTTACCCTCCTCCTCCCCCACCAAACACCATGAATGGACACAAGCGACAACGAATCGATTGTCGGAAACTGTCTTGGGAACAACTCAGCCCAAACCTCCTCGAGAAAGACACTATCTGGAAAAAGGTGAAAAATGGAACTGATATTACAGCTATGTGCACACATAGTTTCATGGCAAAATAATTAATTAATACCTTTGGTAATGCAAAAATTGCTATCAAATGCTTCTTTGAAACCTATTCAATTGGACTACTAATTCCTCAGGGAAAAATGTCTGGAACTCTCCTGAGACTTAATTGTCCTTGTTTAACATTAAAAGAAAGGAAACAGATCGGATCCGTGCTATCAGAAATAGAACCTTTTATACTGGTTCCCACATTTTTCCTTCCTTCTTTGCTCTGCTCACTCGGAATAACGTTTTCTTTATCTTGTTTTGTCAAATCCGTATTTAGGTTAAAGACAATTTGCCTTTGGAAGGTATTTTTGACTCTGAAGATATAATCAGGGAATTTTCTGTTACGTCACTTTCAGGTGTGTGTTCTAGTATTAATCATAATAACAAAGTGAATGATCAGTTGTATATGGTGCTAACAAAAAACAAATATGAAGTTCGTTGTATGCACTACCGGTCGTAACATGAGACTGCAATAACTTTCTTGCCAGTTCTTAGTTCCGATATATATTAAAAATGTAGAGTTTCAATGAAACAGGTAAAAGACGCTTGATGATAGAGTTGCAATCTCAATAACATCGCTTCCTTAGAAGAGTTATCGTTGTCGGGATTTTCTATTTTTCGAGAAGTCATTGGTACACAATATGCGAAGAATTGATTCTTTTGTCTTGCTTCATACCAATGCAATGATATGGGAAGCATAAAGTTTCCTTAACTAGCATGCTATGTAATTTTGCCTCAAAGGGAGTTTACTAAAAAAGACCAAAAGAGAAAATGCGATGGACGAAAAGAAAATTTTCAATGTCTGTAAGTACTTCAGTTACTTCAAAAAACAGTAAAAGGTAGAAGTAAATTAAAACTTGTTGAGCAGTAATAAAAAACAAAGAAATCCATTTATGGACCTTGATGTTGTTTATTTTGTTGATATCTTATCTTTCTTGAGTTCAAAATATCTGTGATTAAGGTGCGTTGTGTGAGAAGAGTTAACCAAGATAGATATACAAGTCAAAAAGAACAAATCTGGTCACTACTAGAAATTACAACTTTTTGCAACTGAGGATCTCTTTTATTAGGAAGGGCAGGGCATTTCACGTAACAACCTCAAAGACGGCTGATAGGTTTAATGTCTGTTTCATAGATGAATTGACTAACTGGTAGAGTAACTGATTTATCACAGCAATCATTTTGACGCATTACAAGCTCAAAGCAGAAGGTGTGGCCCAATGCCTGATATCTGGAAACACACAACTTACATCTGATGAGCTGAGACAGGTTTTGGCTTTTGCACCGGATGATCGAGAGGTAACAGCTATGCAGAGATATGCATTTTAAAACTAACCTTTCAAAACAGAGCAACTCAATATGTGCAAACGTGCCCTTGGAAAAGAAAGTTTAATGGATTACATAGGTATGAATTTTCTAGTCAGTAGCGGAAAATGAGGAAGAAAGTGCAAAACCCTATGTTTTTATCTTTTTAAAAATTCAGTTCACTTTATGTTTCATGAAGGGCTTTTATGATTCATTAGTTTATGAAAGTGACTGCCTATCGAAACTCGAGGCAAGTATTCTTTTATGCAAAGATTCATTACCATGTAGAAGCGCCAAAAATGTTTTTCTCAAGCTAAATACTGGTAAAGATTATTTCATGCATATCCAAACTTGAGTCCTCATCCTCATCGAACTACATGACTTACATTTTCATGCATTTTATTAGACTAGAGCTTTAAGGAAAATGGAGAAAGAAAACGAGATTTTACTTGAGCCAGCTGAGCGGTTTTATCTTAAGGTACCGGTATTATAAGAAGACACATAATTAATAAGTCGAATATATTAAAAAGTGAGCGGCGAAGGCTGTTGGCTAGTTGGGATTTATTCAAATTTCTTATGCATTGAAGGCCAGGGAATTCATTTTTGATGGTCGCGTTACAATACATCTACTACCTGTGTAGTGTATGTTATGTAAAGTGGATCGTTAGCTGATTAATGGCAAATCAAGTAAGTCAAAGCAACTTTTGCTGTTTGGCAAGACACTTCCAGTAACTCTTACAAAGCTTCTCTCCAACCAGAACTCAGGTGTTGGCAGGGCGGACGACACTACCGCTGGATAGGTCTCTATCCGGCTAGTGGATAGTGTAGACTAGTACGTTTTGGTGACTCTTATCCGCTGAATAGCGTTATCCAACCTTTAAACAACTAGGCCCAGGAGTATAAAAGTGCATCAGCAAACAACGTCATTTACACTGTTTGATGGTAATATATATCAAATGCATTTCTTTTTTTTTTCATCCTCAGGTTGCTGCGACTGTGCCTTCCTATAAAGCAAGACTCCGCACAGTCTTGCTTAAAGCCCAGTTACAAGAAAGGATCACACAAATCAAACCAGTAATGAGTTCACCCTTAGCCTGCTTATTATGACTCGTTACTTCTATTTCTTTTAATTTCATGAGGCTCGCGCCTCAAATTGATTTACGTCACTCCTTAGAGATCAAAATCGAACTCAAACCAATCAGAGACAAAGGCGAATTTCTCCCAAAGATGATTGATCGAGGTTCATCTTCTGTAGCAAACACTTTGAAGCTATGAACATTCATGTCATGAATTCACATTTGATTTGTATTTCAGCATCTTGAAACAGTCATCAACGCCTGCCAAGAGCTTATGACCTCTGAGAAACTCACAAAATTCCTTGAGGTACAAATAAATTGTGTATATCTAAGCAAGGTACTTTGTTTTTCCGACCTTATACGTCCATTTACTCACCTTTATTATTCACACTTATAATTATTCTGCCAATTGTAGATGGTGTTGACCATGGGGAACATCATGAATGGAAGCGACACCTGGGCCTTCAAGATAACCTTTGTTACAAAAGCAAGTTTGTTTACTTTTTTTCACTTACAACGTATTTTCACACACCTGCGCGCGGAAAGACGCAGGCGACCAACTCGTGATTGGTCTTAGTTTTGCAGCTGTGATTGTTTGAGGGAGCGATGTGAGTTTTCTGGGCCAATCACTGAGCGAAGTAAAGAAATAAAGGCTGATAGTTTCGAAAGAAACTGTTTGGGGCTGCGTCCTTGAGAGTAACGATTTGATTTGGATATATCAACAAAGTTGAAATGGTAAATTGGCCACCGTAATGATTACAAAAGCTGACGTTTCGAGCGTTAGCTCTTCGTCGGAGCGAATAGAGGAATTGTGGGTTGTGTGTGCTTTTAAAGGCAGAAAATGGAGCTACGTTATTGGTGGGAGCATGGCAACGAGAAAAACATGAATAAATTAGTGGAATGAAAGAAGTAAAGAAAGCCAATGCAATTCCATAATTATCTTCGACACTCGGATGAAAATTGTTTTATCATATTTTTTCATAGCTGATGGATTACAAATCGTCTTTGAAAAAGGCCACTTCTGTGTTGGATTATCTGACTCGAGTTATCATCACAAAATGTCCGCACATCGCCGCTTTGGGAGACGATCTCAGATATGTGGAAAAAGCATCAAAAGGTGTGAATGTAAAAGCATTTTTAACTTACAGCTGAAATCAGACATAAGTAGGGTTTTATTCGAAAACTATTAAATTTGAAATCCTTGTCTAACAGTACCTCAACTTCTCAACTTTTTGTAAGTATTTTATTCCCACTCGGTCGCGTACAAAGCTCGAATGGAGCTTGATGGGTTTAAAAACGTGGTGTTTAACAGGATAACGAGTTCAAAGGCCTTACGTGCCGTTCTCTATGAATATTCTACTTCGTGTTACATTCCAAGTGATATACGATTCTTAATTAGCCTTGTTTCCCGACTTTTCAGTTCCATTTCATTCTCTTGACAAGGAAATATGCAAGCTGTCTACAGAAATTGAGGTAAAACGACGAGTTTGTGTAGTTCTCACTTGAAGTTCTTTGATTTTAACGTGTATGAAATAAAACTGCCTTGTTGGATTTTAATTATTTCAATTCACAGGTCCTTGAAGAAGACGTAGAGAAAATAAACAACGATAGTGTAGAGGAAGACTGTTTCAGTACAAGTATTAGAGTATCCTTCAAAGCTGAAGATCAGACGTGGATGGTCTACTCCATACAAACAGTGGATGATGCACATACAATCTTGGCGGAGTGGGGGGGAGGGGGGGAAGGGGTGGCTATTCCTTTACTGGATCAAACAGTGAACCTCACCCGAACAGCGTACCTTTCCCTGGGCGCAGCAAGACTATTATGGTATTACCTCGGTATCTGAGTTGCAATTTAGAAATGATTCGGAAAAATCACGATTCACATTAGTTAGCAGGGGCTGTGGCTATTGAAGGGTTACCCACAAGAACTCAGAGTGAAGTTCACCAAGTTTTCACGCATTCGTTCGCTTAGTCTATATATATACAGTGTTTAATGGACTGTCTGTCACCATAATAAAGGGGTACCACTTCTTGTAGAGGAGGCATCTTTATCGAACTGCGAAATTATCAACTTAATTGTAGTATAACCTTTTTCATAATTAAGGATGGCACAAAGTGCCTAGTAAAATATCCGTTTTCTTTTTGTTTTGTTTTTTAAGAGAAACGCTAGCTCGCCAAGAGAATTATTCACTTGATCTCTTCCTTTATCGAGCTAGAAATATAGGAACTTGTGAGAGAAAGCTTTAAGATCAAGTCATATAAAGCTTTTCCTTGACAAACCTGAAAGCTTTTTGCTGTTTCGGCAAAAGAAGACCTTAAAGACGTGTTATCACTACAGAAGAATGCCAAGCGAAGCTTTAGCCTCCTTATGCAGTATTTTGGCGAAGAGTGCGATAAACCGGAAGATTTCTTTGGAATCTTCGCCACATTTATGCGGCAGTTTGAGGTATTAGATCCGGCAATCACAATAAATAATAGTTCGTCTAAACTGGGTTGGATCTGAAGTGACTATCATTAGCTTTAATTGTCGCGATTTACATTTTTTTTTTTTTTTCAGGATGTGCTGAAAACGTACAAATGAAGTTGTAAAGCTGAAACACCAAGAAAAGAAATTTAATTCAGTTTCAGAATATCCAGAAGCATTCTCAACAGTTAAAGTTGTATAAATCGTTTACTATACGCAATCATTATTACATATACATATTTCAAAAACTATACATAGAAAAGCAAATATTTTCATACAGAAATTTTCATGGTGAATACCAATACCCAACGCATTTTTTTGTGTGTGTAAATAATAAAGTTGAATAAAGTTTGAATTTTCAAATACTTTTTACAATGCTATAAAAGCGAGTTTTTAATTGTGACAATAAAAACAATGACCACGATAAGCCGCGAAACACCTTTACAGAAACACCAAAAGAACGTAAAGTCTGGGGCTTTTTTGACAGCAGATTAGAGGCCTCGAATAAAAATTTTGTCGACGCATTTCTTGATCCTACTAAACTTCTAAATCATCTTAATCTTTGCCGACTTCATCATACGGAAAAATATCAGTTTTTCATCTTTTTCTTTTTTTAAATGTTTTCTCCTTCGATAAAAATAAACCTGATCAACGCATTGGAATGTAAAGGATAAACGAAAAGATAGCATTTCGTTGCTACAGTTATGCAAAATAAAATATGGAGCTCTTCTGTCACGTGCAAATGGCGCTAAGGTGAGGTATAATATCGAGCCCCCTCGACTGCCAATTACCAATTTTCCCCCAATGTAATTAAAACTGTGATTCGTTTCTTTAGAAATTAGACAAAAGATAGCTAATTAGAAAGCTTTTTAGATAGGCCAGAAATTTAGAATCTTTAGCAACAACCAATGGCAAGGTTGCGAATTCTCCGTGCTATGTGTTTTTTTTTTTATGTATAATTCGCACGTGCGTTATAGCGGTATAAAAGTTGGATGACAATTCTTTCTCATCACCGAGAAATTTCAGATCCTGTTTCAGATTTTCTGTACAAGACTACCTTACCAGCGAGTTTTGCAAGACTTTCGAGAAATGGCGCGCACCAAACAGACCGCTCGTAAATCAACCGGAGGAAAGGCTGCACGAAAGCAACTCGCAACAAGGGTAGCAATGAAAAGTGCTCCAGCCACTGGCGGCGTTAAGAAACCTCATCGTTACCGGCCAGGAACTGTCGCTCTCCGAGAGATTCGCCGCTACCAGAAGTCCACAGAACTGCTCATCCGCAAGCTCCCTTTCCAGAGATTGATCCGTGAGATAGCGCAAGATTTCAAAACAGACTTGCGTTTCCAGAGTTCTGCGGTGTTGGCGCTACAAGAAGCTGCAGAGGCGTACTTGGTAGGATTGTTTGAGGATACTAATCTTTGTGCAATCCACGCTAAACGAGTCACCATCATGCCTAAAGACATTCAACTAGCGAGACGAATCCGCGGAGAACGCGCTTAACTGAACTATCTTGGTACTTTTCTTTACTTTTTGATTGAACCTGTTTTGATTTAATTTTCACATAGATATTGGTGAAATTTTACTGCTACAAATTTTCTAGACGACGTACAGGCACCGTTTGTTTACAGAAATAACTCGAAATTGAGGAAGACTTGCGTATTCGTAAATTTGTAACGCCTGTGTATATAACGCGTGTAAGATATAGCAATACAACTGCTGTAAATTCATTATTATTGAAGTATCATTTGCATGTAAATACAAGCAGCCATCATCTGCGTTTTATTTTATCTTTCTCATTGTAACAGGCAAGTTAAATAAAAATTTCAGTCACCTATTTCGCGTTATTCAGAGTAATCCTGTTTTGCGCTGCAAACGGAAACTTGCGCTTTGCAACCGAATTGCTCATATAGTGCGAGAAAAACTTAAAAAAGTTCGAAGTTTAAAAGGTTCTCTACAATGTGTTTCGGGTAAATTTCAAGCCAGTAGATTCCCTGTGACTACAATACCGCAACACCGTAAACTTAGTCACAATAAACGAAAAAAAGTCAAGCAAGTTCTGAACTGCAAACATCCTTTAGTGCTTTGACGTAAAATCTCATTTCGCCCTACAAACTAAGATGGTTATGCAACATCATTCTAAACAAACATTCGACATCGGACTAAATTCCTTTCCAAGATTTCATTTTTACTCTCAATTCAAGAAGACCAGGAATAGCAAGAACGGGCTGAGTTGGAGTTTTCAATTTTATTTTCATCTTGACAACTGGCAAGAGTGCCATATAACCCCAACATTAAATATGCATTCAGTCTTCGTTAAATGAAAACAATAGCGATAACATTAGAACTCCGCAGAGACTAGTAGTCTTTTGTTTTCAAAATTTGGATTTTTTATTTTCAACGCATGCAATGAATATACAAGCACTACGAAGAAAAATTGAAATATTTGAAGCAATGCCACACTTAAGCAAGGTTGCAATGTTGGCTTCATTTCTTAAAATAAATTCGTAAATATAATACAATATTTTTCAGTCATAAATAAATGTTTTCATGTGAAAAATTTACATAAATCAGAGCGGCCTGTTAGCATTTTTGATTTTTTGAACGCTAACTGTTCGAAGTCAACAACATCTTAAACGAAAGTGGGTGTTGAAATGGTTGCACTGTCCTCCGTGGCATAATTGGTAAAGATAACTAGTCTGTTGATCGTGCCTGTTTTCGCAACGACTTTACACAAAAGCAGTGGGTTGCCCATCTTCAGTACATTTATTCGAATTATCTTTCGAAAGTGAAAGCTCCGTAATTAGCAAGAGGCCATCAAGTTACCGTATGCTACCCGTTTTCATGTCTTTTTACTGGCCGAAATCGCCCTCCAGCGGGGAGGGGAGAGGAACCGATAACCTGTACCTCGTTTTCAATCATATGTAGTCACCTCTACAGTTCCAAGGGATGTTATTAGAGGAAAAGTTCTAATAACCACGACTGACCAAGTCTGTTAAAAAAAAGGCAAATCAATTATATGTGTTCCAAATCCTTACAAAAAGAGAACTTGAAAAGCATGAAAACGAAAATACTGCTCTCACCTTTGTAGCTGTCTAATTCATCTTTCTTTTTCTTGACGGTGTTTGGCGCCGTGGAAGACTGAGATTAAATAAAAAGAAAGGATGAGTGGATGAATAGATAAAGAATAAATGAAAAGAGAAAAATCACGTGGGATGGAAATTGGAGTAACACGAAAAGGTAGAAGTTTTCCCAAGTTGCTGCGCCGTCTGTATGGTGATAAATTTCAGTCTAGCCTTTCGAACGTTTGATGACAAATACAACATAAAGAGACTGACGAAGTGCATTACCTTTAAAACCGGATGAGGGATGCCTATAATGTCACAAAGTCTGTTCCTTATGACACGAAGTTCTTCAATCTTTACATCCCTGAGAGAAAAAGGAAGTGAAAGAAAAAGCGGTGACTAACTGATTGCAACCAAACAGGTCAACATGTTTAAAAAAAACTAACCTATCTATTTTTAGATAATGACAAAACGCGAGTAAAATCAAATTCGCATATCTCACCATGAAGTTTCGGTCAGTATCGCTAAAACTTCATCAAAATTTTCTGCCGGTATGATGTCATCATACGTCAGCACTGCCGAGTACAGGTGATCAGCGGTAGATTTACGTACCTTCGAAAAGAAAAGGATACGTCACAAATAAATGAAACATTGAACTGGGGTATTTGAGGTGGGCCAAAAACAATGCAACCACGCAGTAAACCATTAATCGTCGAGAGACTTTTTCCCCACACTGTATATTTGAGTATAATGAACATTTACCATCCTTGCTTGAAGGCAGTCATGGAAGTTCTTACCTGAGGGTATCGATGACAGAGAAAAATGGAGAGCTGTTGGAATGCTCTCGTTCTTGTTGCCCCTGGAAACTGTAACAAGCCGCAAAATCTTTTAAAAGTAAAAGAGGAAACGTGCAATTAAGGGTGAGCTTTGTGCAATAATCATAAACCAAAAAAAAAAGGACAGGCTCAACAGCTAAATTTTGTTTTTACAAACTGCTTGCGTAGCAAATGGGTGATATATTGGGCTGCGTAGTTCAGACATACGAAAGCAGACGACCTCGAGCGTAAAAATTGTCCGTGAAAGGTACCAGCTGTTGCACCGGGAATGTGTAATTGCACAGTTCGCATTATATTCAGTCTAAAAATAACATTTTACGCGGTCAGCGGTACGTTTAGCAGTGCATTTACGACAGCGTCCCTTAACACAGCTTCGATAGCATCAGGTCTTCGCATAATTATGACAGTTTAGTAACAAAAGCCTTAAAACATTGTACAACACCGCCCTTGTCATAATCGAAAGAAAGGCATAGCTCATAAGGTTGCTAAAAGCCGTAAACACTTGAATTACGATCAACTTTGAAAGAGTTTAATTCTTACACACTGACACTCGTGAGTAACTTTCTAGCGTCACCAATCTTGAAGATTTCCTTCTTTGTGAGGTTGAAAACGGCTGCAGGGAAAGGATGGCTGTAATGAACCAATCAAAAAAGGATATTAACTGAGGAAAACGACTCAAAAGCTTTCCATATGATGATCATTCAGCTGTCAGCTTTCCAAAGATAAGATCGACATTCCCACAAAACGTAGCATTGATATCGCTCGAGGAAAATTGCTCAACTATGTAAAACTTCTAAAAAGCTGCGTCAAATCAGTGTTTTTGTTCCCGCGGAGAACCTTTAGAGCGATCAGTTGCCAAAGAATTCCAACGCAATAGAGGCAAGAACAAAAAAAAAAAAAAAAAAAAAAAAAAAAAAAAAAAACCAGCATGAACTAAGGTGGTAAGAGTTAGACTTCCATTTTTTGGGCTAAATTTTCTACCTTTCATCCTGGGCGAACAGCTCAAAGCAGCCATTGGCTAACAGCATATCAAGCATCTTGAATAACGGAACTATAATTCTATGTACACAAACATGTTAGATTGTTAGCAAATTAATCGACGCCGAGGGTATAGAAACAAAAAAACGCCACTAGAGAAAGCGGAAACTTTGCAACCGCCGCCGGCGTACCCGTTTAAAAAATTCAGGAGCCCCATGGGTGAGAAATGAGATTATGATCGAGAACCAACGCTGAATCACGGGAAGCAGACTTAGGATTGAGGTGAGGGGACACAGAAAATACATAAAATAGTGAGACTCGATAACAAAAACAACAACAGCAACCAAAATATATAAATGGGAATTGCATAAGAATAACATTTTAATTTGGATGGAGCAGAACATCTTTACGGGTTTCCTAATTAAGTAAATAAACTATTTCAAAGCAGAAACAAATTAAGCCACTTACCTGTCATTTTTTTCATTTTTTCGAAAGATATCTAAAAGGGCTTCCGCAATCTCGTTCATCTGAGGCTCACTATAATAACAAGAATCGTAAATGGTGACGACACTAGGTTTACATATGATCATACGGGGGAACACAATGGTGCAGTTTGTTGTTGCCGACCCCTTCCTTTAAGTTCAAGGATTTTTCTTGGGTTGTTCTGGTGTTCTTCTCTTTTCAGAAGAAATAATCCAAATTTCAACCTTGACCGGGTAGACAGTGGACGAATAGCTAGGTCGGGGAAATTCCAGTGCTGTTGAACTTTCCATTCATTCCATTTAATTTTATGTCTAATTACCTCTTGCTTATGACTTTCAAGAATCTTAGCAACGATGAATGGGAATGTCGTACCTGCAAAAGAAGAAGAAGAGAAAAAAAGTCTTGAACCAGAACCAATTTACAACTTGATAACAACCATTGAAGCTCTCTTAAAAGATCAGTAACTCCTGCAAGCGGAGAGTACTAATGATGTGAAGTGTCTCAAAAATTTAACGAACGAAGATGATAATTACCAGTGATTCTGTTAGCCCTCCAACACTGACAGTTAAGCCCAGAAGAACCGATTTTCTGTACGACGCCAAACCGAGGAGCTTCGTTATTCGAGGAAAACATTCTGCAGAAGCGCTCCAATTCATTTCTAAACACTTATCCCTAAGACAAAAGGGAAAAACTTGAAGAAAAGTAAAAAACCTTTTAAATCAATGTTCAATTTCAAGAAATTAGACTTGTTGACTAAAGGACTCCAAGGAAGCAGACCACAAACACGACATATTGTGTTCCCACTTTGGCTAACTATTTAAATCTTCAAGTACAACTTACTTTGGAAAAATGTCGAGAAGCTCTTCGTGGTGCGGTATATGCGGCAACCTAGGACTAAAAAAAGTGATTAAATAAATAATAAAATACAGAAACGAAGGAGATGAAAAACAGTATTTGAACAACCGTCATTTACAAAAATACAGCCACAAATATATACGTTTAATAATATGCCCCGGCCGGGACATTGTGTTGTGTTCTTGGGCAAGACACTTTACTCTCACAGTGCCTCTCTTCACCCAGGTGTTTAAATGGGTACCGGCAAATTTAATGCTGGGCGGAGTGACCCTGCAATGGACTGGCATCTCATCCAGGGGGGAGTAGAAATACTTCTAGTCGCTTCACGCTACAGAAACCGGAGTTAAGCACCGGCCTAATGGGCCACCAGGCTCGTAAACAGACTTTACCTTTTTTAATATGTTACAATGTTTTTAATCAGCAAACTAAGCTTCAAAAAATATTTTAAACAGGGATATAAAATTACATTTGTGACTCACCTGTCCATGTACAGAAGCCTGAGGAATATCTCCCCGGCATGAGCTCTTGTCCGATCTATTTTCTCGGAAGACTGCTGCGCAAGACAGCACATCACCCGCTCACAGCTAAGGAAAGGAGCAGCAAGTTCCATTCAAACAAGAATGAAATCTTTGTCTGTATGTAGGATTTTCAACGTCTTTATCTTGTGCTGAGGGGCACTGGGTCTTAGGGAAGGAGACAAATGCGGTGAATCGAACCGCCTCTTAGATTGTTCGTGGGTCATATGACCGAGCACCTGGCGACGGCGTTACCTTAAAGGATGGCTTTTAATCGGCTGAAGTAAACCGCTAAAATTAGACAAAATACATCAGAAGAAGAGCAAAACTTCCTACTTACATCTCTGGCGTAAAAAGAGAATGATCACTTTCTACAACAAATCGAGTCAGGGTTTCCAACCCGCTCATGCTAGCTTCACGCACCCTGCAA